ACATAGGTTATTTCATCAAGTTTGTCTCGACATAAACCACCCTTGACAGAGATATGAAATAATTAAGAGCTTTTATAATAGCTCAACCTCACAAAGGGTATGGTGACTTTCTTCAAGTTCATTATTAATAAACCACCCAAACTCTGAGATACGAAGTCATTAAGAATAAATATTCAACCTCATTAATCGATAAATTCAAAAAGTCCTTCTCACTAGAACCATCCAAATTCTTGGATTTGTATTTATTAAGAGTTTAACAAACTTAACCTTTCTGTCGGTAAGTTCATTATTTCTTTCTCATTTAGAATTACCCACTCACTCTTGGTTATGAACTTATTAAGAATAGATATTCAGCCAAAATCTTTAAATTCATCAAGTCTTTCTCACTAAGACCACCCAAAGCATGGGCTATGAATTTATTAAGAGCAATTAAGCTCATCTTGGGCATGCACATTATTCATCGTAGGGATAGGCAATAGGAATGTCCACTATGAGTCTTTCCATGGTTTCGTTTGACCACATGGAACTTATATAACTAAGTTGGGTATCCACCATGAATTCCTCAACTAATGGGCTTTAGACCCATCCCCCTCGACGAATCTAGGACCAGCTTCCGACTTAACCCTTTGGTAAGTGGATCTGCTAGGTTCCTTTCCGACTTCACATACTCTAAAGAGAGTACTCCATTCTTTATTACGTGTCTAACTGATTCATATCTTATGCGAATGTGTCTTTTCTTACCATTGTAAACTTGGTTCTTAGCCACAATATCGCAACTTTTGAATCACACAACAATGAAACTAAAGGAGTCGGTCTTCCCCACAACAGAATATCTTCTAACAAGCTTCTGAGCCACATGGCTTCTTGCTCAGCTAGGTCAAGAGCTATAAACTTTGACTCCATGATAGAACGAGCAATACAAGTCTACTTTGAAGATTTCCACGAGATTGCTGCTCCACCTAAAGTGCATCAAGCTTGGAAAGATAAACAACTTGCATCACCAGATGATCAACGACAAAACCAACAGAGACAATTGGTAAGCCATATATTTCATATCAATTGTCCTATATTTTAGTGATCTAAATTATCTATAAGTCTATCTTTTATTATTATTTTTTATTTTACTGGTCAAAATATTTGTTGGAAGTATATTAGAACTAAAACTAGGATTTTGATGAAGTTTATATGCTTAAAGAACAAAAAGGACCAATAGCATTCCTACTTCTATTGAAATTCTCTCTATTTTGCAGTAGGATTGAGATAAGGCAAAAATATGTAATATATAATTTAAATTTGGGATAAGATCATGTTACACAATGTTAAACTCTTAATTTTACACAAATTTAGGATTGTTGGATGAGTGAAAATAGATGATTCATATTAACAGTATGAAATGATAAGATATTTATCGGAGAGAAAAAAACAATGAGTCAATCTCATTCATCTATTTTCATTCATTCAACAGTCCTAAATATGTGTAAAATTAAAGAGTTTTATATTGTGTAAGGAATCCTAACCCTTTAAATTTTATCTATATTTTATAATAGGATTAGGATAAACCAAAAGGATGTGCTCCACAAGCTAAATTCAATATCTTCTCTTATTTGATATAGATGATTACTACTTTATAAAAGATCATTAGGAGAAAAGAAAAACATCATATCTCTCAAACATTAGTTTTCTTAGTTATTTTTCTTAATGAATTATTAAATTTCACCATTTAGTCAAGGTTTTTAATTCAAGGATTCGTGAGATTTTCTGTTCTTGATCTTCTTTGTTTTTTTAGTATTCTTATTTCTTTTGTTTTATTTGTTAATTATTAATCTACGAATTACATGAACTGGTCAATCTATAATTTATTAAATATTTATATTATTAATTGAAATCTTTTCATCGATAATTATGGTCAGATTTGAATACAAGTAGTAAAATGACATAGGAATATGTTATGAAGTTATAAGATCTATTTTGAATCAAATGTGAGTTGATTAACTAAGGATTTTGTCTCTTTAATTCATAAAACGGATAGAATATATTAAAATTTCAATTTGACCTGAAGGAGCAAAAATAATAGAAGACAATAATTTCAAGTTTAAGCATCGTCAATGACATGATGTGATAGTATATAGTAAAGGTAAATCACATAATTTAACTTAGGCATAATGATAAAATTACCTCCAACGTTTGCATAAATAATCACTTTGTTCCTTTTTTTAGCATTTTATCCCTCAACGTTTCAATTATTGATAAAATAGACAATGTTGGACGAAAATCATTAGTTGACTAATAGTTAACACATGTTGTTGACGTAATATATGTCACATCACTAAAGTGATATATGTGATATCACTAAAGTGACATATACCACATCATCAATTGAATATATGTGAAAATAGCATGTCAATAACATGTGCTAATTGTTATTCAACTAACAATTTGCATCCAATAGAGTCTAGTTTGACAAAAAAATTGAAACATTGGGAGATAAAATGCTTCAAAAAATGATATGGGTAAATTGACTATTTGTATAAACGTTGTGGGTAATTTTGTCATTATGTCTTTAATTTATGATTCTATCACTAATTTCAACATAAGATTATCTAAATTCTCTTTCAATAGGTTGATATAGTTACTAGAGACACCATAATAAGCTAATTTCTTCTTAACTTTCAATTATGAAAGAAAAGCTCCAGTGACTATTTATGTTGCTGATTAGACAATCTCATAGAGTCTACGGTTTCAGATTGAAATTTTCCAAATTTTAACATGTATTTACTCATCTTATTCACCCCAAATTTATTGATTGTACTTAGATCTCTGGAGGAGATTACCATATTAAATTTTTCACTATGGCATAAGGTGTACCAATAGTCCCAACATCTTTTGCCCTGAGTGAACAACAAATGATAATTTCTTTTTCTTTTCTTTTTTTCTTTAGGAAAGTTAAACGATGACACTTACCATTTTAAACATAGATATCTTTACATGAAATAATATCCTATAAGGGATAAGTACTAAGAATCAAACACTTTATTCACAAAATCATCTCAAAATACCAATGCATGATAATATTTTTTTCTTTTGCTTCAATTGTTCACTCTCTTATCAACATGTGATGCCCCAACATGTAGTTATTCACCGAGGTTATACTTTTTATTCTCCTATCAATTTTATATTTTCCTTGCTTTGTCACTCGAATGAAGGATTGATGAGCTATACAAATAAGAATGTTCACACCATTGACATTGAGTCGCCAAGAGGATAAAAATGGAAAGAGATTATGAAAAAAGACACAATTAATTATGAAAGATGATGAAAGAAAATGCTATTAAAAATACACCATGCTTTCATTTATTAAAATAATAATCAACAAACATAGCCCTTGCAAAAGGACCTATATTGCTTTCGACAGGAGCAACATGTTAAGTTATTGGAATGTAAGCCTAAAAGTATGTAAACATGATTCAAGTTATTGATGTGTCATGTGACATAAATTGTGATAAGAATGAGTATTTTTATGTTTGATATTTATGTTAATTGTCATTCATAATGTCTATAATTATTTGAGACTAACTCTATAAGCTATGTAAGTTTTTTTTGTTTATTTAATGTCATTACAGGTAGTTAGTATTCATAACTTGTTCGGGATTGCATTCTGTGTTCCAAGTTTCTCTCAAGATAATCAGAGTAAATGTTCTTTTGTCTAAACTCCTAGAATGTGACATATGTGTTTGAATAGTGATCATGTGTGTTTATATATAGGGCTAGGATATATTTACGCAATGTAAAACTCATTTAGATTTATATAGATTTAGAATTGTTGGATGAGTAAATAGATGACTGAGATTAACTTTTTTTTAGTGAATATCTTATCGTTTCCTACCGTTAATCTCAGCCATATATTTTCACTCAGCCAACGATCCTAAATTTGTGTAATTATGTTATCTAGTGCAAGAATGATTTAGGTAAACAAGTATGTTATGTCTTTCATGCGTGGCGAAATCAAAAATATTGAAATGACTTTCACTCTTTCATGCTTTTCTTTTCTTTTTTAAAGAAAAAAGAAAATCAAAATCTATGATGTTTTATCTATTTTCTATCAAATAATTATTGTTTGGTAGTTAGATGTTCCGTCAATGTACTCCAATGCTCATGCTTGCTTCTTCTGGAGTTCACTAATTCATCATCATTAACACGATCGTCTGAAATCTCCACTTTCCCTGCATTTCCAATTCTTTTATATTTCAGATCCTTAATTGTGAAGTTTACGTATCTGATTCTGTGTCAATCTGTTTGCAGATTGGGTAAGCAGCCAAATACTAACAAGTAGTCGTAACCATAGGCGGAACATCATAGAGACCAGCATGAGTCTAGATCCGTCAAAATATTTCATTTTATTGATGGTGTTCATCTTAAAATTTTATTTGTACTCATGTCCACTTTCAAAAATATTTTTAGATCCGTCATTGTTTGTATGCCATTACTACATGTTCTTAAAGCATGTTGGAGGAGGCAAAGGTAACTGCAGCTAGGGATGGCAACTCAACCCGAACCCGACGGGTTCCGACCCGATCCGGATTTTTTTTTTAAAAATCAGATTTGGGTCGGGTCGGGTTTTTTTTATGCACTGTTCGGGTCGGGTCGAGTTCGGGTTTAGGGTAAAAAAATCCGACCCGACCCAAAAAATATATATAATTTTATCCTATATATTTAGAGATAATTATAATAATACCCCTCTATATATAATTTTTTTCAATTAAGTCACTGTTTTTATTGAATAAAAATATATTTTTAATTATTTCGGGTCGGGTCAGGTCGGATCGGGTTTCTAAGTCATATATTCGGATCGGTGAAACCTTAATTTCATCGGGTCAGGTCGGGTCACGGGTGGAGGACCCTTTCTTCTCGGGTTGGGTCGGATGACCCAAAAACCCAACCCGACCCATTGTCATCCCTAATTGCAGCCATATCAAAATCATCAATAAGTTGCAACGACACAAGAACATGAATGGTTCAAATGTCTGCAATGATCCCAAAAAAATGAGTAATAACAATAATAAAATGTCTTCACAATAGAACCCTCAGTTTCAATAAAAGCAAAATGAAGTTAACACATTTAATACACAAAAAAGGTTAATGAATTAAAGATCATGTTCAAGATGATGAGCAGCAAGCAATTTTCGTGTTGGCCTCCGGTGTTCCAACATCAATGGTTTTCCCTTCTTTAATACTTGAGGCCGCTGGCTCATCAGAAGAAAGCGACTTCTTACTAATTTTGCGGTATATTTCAGAGAGAATGGTATAGAAAGCCTTCTCAACATTTGTTGCTTCTAATGCAGATGTCTCGATAAACGAAAGGCCTTCTTTCTCGGCGTAGCTTTGACCATCTTCTGTTGCAACTGCTCGGAGATGCTTCAGATCAGTCTTGTTCCCAATCATCATGATTACAATGTTAGAATCCGCATGGTCCCTGAGCTCCTTCAGCCATCGGCTCACGTTTTCAAATGTCGTTGGCTTGGTAACATCATAGACCAGAAGAGCTCCAAGAGCACCTCTATAGTAAGCACTGGTTATTGCTCTGTACCGTTCCTGACCGGCGGTGTCCCATATTTGAGCTTTCACAGTCCTTCCCTCAACCTGATACAAGGCATATTGACAACATTTACCTGACAGCACATGCAAAAGAGGAGGCGGACAGAAAGACCGAAGACACATTCAAGGCTTTCTCAAAGAAACAGACATACCTATATGCTCTCTCTAAAAGGACCAACTCTTCTGACAAGAGAAACAAAAAGCCTAACATCTAAAGCTCTTAATATTAGATCAGTTCCACGAAGGTAGGCTATCAAGTAGACCGACCCAAATAAGATGTGAAGTAACTTGCATCTCAGCTTGGCTGTTAAAAGGTCGAGACTTCGGATTTAGAAGAATATTTCCAACCTTGTTTAATCATAACATCAATGCCAAAACATTTCCAACTTTTACCAGTGATTTTCATAAGAGAATTAAAAAGTTAATTGGTAAATAAATTTAGCTCAACATTTTCAGTACTCAAAGATACCCTTCAATCACAAACATCAGTTAATCAAGAAAACTGGATTAGCAAAGCAAAGAACCTGTTGCATTGCTAAGGCCTTTAATCATTATCCCCCAAATGATGATAATCGATGACTAAACTCGGCAGTTGCCAGTTGCCACCCAGTTCGAAGGGATTGCGTGTTTCTTTATTCTCCTATGCTATTTTTGGAAATATAAATCTGAAATTTTTTGTTTCACTATGCCAACATCCAACTAAATTAGTCAAGATTCAACATGATTATGTATTTCAAAAAACATAAGTTTTTTAATTCATAACTATATATCTATTTCTATAGAGAGGGTTGTTCAAACTATGTAAAACTTTTTAATTTTATACATTGTTAGAGTCATTGAAAAAAATTAAGAGATAATCTTAATAGTCTATTTTCACTCGTCCAACAATATTACGAAGCTAAAAGTGGATCCAACGTATGTATGTATATATATATATATATATATATATATATATATATATATATATATATATATATATACACTATGCCGAGCCCAGTTAGGCATTGTATCTATATTACTTTTAAATTCACATCTAGATAGTCGTCCATCAAATCCATCGCAATCAAAGATAATTTTTTACATTTTTGCTCGCTTCTCTCGCTGATTCAACACAATTCAATGGTATTAACAAATGAGCATCAAAATCAGGACAAACCTCATTCTTTTCAATTAAAATTATCGCTGATTGGCCCAATCAAAAACATCACTAGTTAGTACATTGAAGAACAGGAGAAACTCAATTTAAAAAGGCGAAGGAATCAGATCTACTGCATGTCTAGAAAGGGAAATAGTAGATCTAAATCCAAGCATCTAATATAACCAAAAATTACAGTTCATTATAGAAATACAAATAAATAAAGAAAAAAGGGCGAGATTTATTACTTGGAGAGTGCGGGTGGCAAATTCGACGCCGATTGTAGATTTAGATTCTAAGGAAAACTCGTTCCGAGTAAATCGAGAAAGCAAATTAGATTTTCCAACGCCAGAATCGCCAATTAATACAACCTTGAACAAGTAATCGTATTCGTCGTCCGGTCTCCTCGCCATAAGCGTTGAGGATAAAGATAGAAAATGAGAATAGCAGGGGAGTCCTCGTCTTTCCAAGGGACTGAGACACGGATCTGTTACAGAAAATTATACTAACAATTGACCCATTTTATAATTTGTCCATACAACTTTTACTTTTTTTCATAGGCTTAAATTATCTTTTTCGCTCTAAACTATATCGTTTGTGTCGAGTTATTTTTTAAAATTATTTTTTAAGATGTCAAACTGTTATCATTGTAAAAAATATATGTGTAAATTATATATTTAGTCACTCATCTATTTATTTATGTGGTTCTATTTAATTACCCAACCTTTTCTTAAATCATCACTAAATTTAAGTTTTTGTTATATTTTGATCAATCAATTTGATTCAATTTATTTTTTAAATTTTTAATGTATAAGAATTCATTTATATTATATTTTTTTACTCGACACATAAATTTAAAATAAGTAATATTATAAGATAAATAATAAACAACATATTAAATTATATGTAATTAAAATTCTATTAAATGAAATATTAATTATTTAATTAAAATATCATAAACGAGTTGCACAACGTATGAAGAAATACTAATCACTCTAATCTTATGCACCGAACTATTTTCTTGTCGATCTCACATACATCATCAACAACACTATAAAAAAACTACGAGTATAAAATATAAAAATTGATTTTTTTTAAATTATGAGATTTGATTTTTGAAATTAAAAATATATTAATTATATTTTTAAATTGTTAAATTGACATATTTTTTTAGTGTTTTTATGAAACCAAACGAAATCAAACTTATCGTTTTAAAGGTCTTATTAGGAAAACCTATAAAATCTCAAATCCCAAATTTTTCCTCTTATTTCTTTCTCGCCATTCCTTCTTCATATTTCCCTGACCCTCACCGTCACTTTCACTGTCTATATCACCATCGATCAACGTCTTTAAGATTTTTTAAAAAAAACTTTCTTCTTTGGAGGTGTTTTTAGTTTTACTAGTTTAGTTATTTTTTTTTCCAAAAATTTTCTCTTTTATTTTAATTGTTTGAAAACTTAGATCTTGCTATGGGAAAGCACTTGCAAATGTCCCAATTCCATTTTTAGGTGGATTTCTTTGGAATTTAGATGCATTTTTAATAGCTATTTTTCAGCTTAAATTTTGGTTTGGTTTCAATTTTTTGTTGTTGTCAATTTATTATTTATTATTTATATTATATATTATTTATGTTACATATAACTTAATATATTATTTATTATTCATTGCATAATATTACTTATTATTGAAAAATAAATTTATGTGTCGAATACAAAGATATAATATAAATGAATTCTTATACATTAAAAATTTTAAAAATAAATTGAATCAAATAGAGTGACCAAAACGTAACAAAAACTTTAGTGATGATTTTGAATAAGAAAAGAATTGGGTAACTCAAACAGAACTGCATAAATAGTTGAATGATTAAATATGTAATTTACCTGTGTGTTTTTTACGGAGTTAACAGTTTGGGACAAATGAGGGAACGATTTAAACTTTATGGAACAAAACGTCCTGAAAAATACTTTAAGGGGTAACTCGGTACAGACGGTATATTTAGGGGACAATGGTGTATTTAAGCCTTTTTCATAAATGAAATTATGGCTTCAAGATAAAATAAGTGCCCAAACAATATTGCTTTTCTCAAATAGGTCCTACAATATTTTGTGAATCATCTAAGTGCCTAACGTTACAAACGCTATCACTTTAGGTGCCCGAGCCGTAAAAATTGTTAATTTCCTCCGTTAAGTGACACATGTCACATTCTAGTAATTTTAAATTTTTTAAATTAAAAATATTATTATATTTATTAAAAAAAACCCTAATTTCTCTTAAATTACAAAAAAAATCAAATTTCATAATGTAGTCACTCATTTTCGCCCGGGGTTCTGTTTAATATATATATATATATATATAATTTTTTGAATATATATAATATATATTTTTTGAAAATATTTTGAAAACATATATATAATATATAGTTTTTGAAAACATATATATAATATATAGTTTTTGAAAACATATATATAATATATAGTTTTTGGAAACATTTTAAATATATATATATATATATAATATAGTTTTTGAAAACATTTTGAAAATATATATATACTATATAGTTTTGAAAATATTTTTCAAAAATATATATAGTAAAAAGTGTTAAAACGTTTTTGGAAAATATATATAATGTATATTTTAGAAAACATGTTGGAAAACTATATGTAATATTTGGGTTTTGAAAATGTTAGTTTTAAATATATTATAGTATACTTATTTTATTTTACTTTATTTTATTTTAATTTTATTTTAATTTTTTAGGGTCCAATAAAGTCTAACATAGGCCCAGCAGGAAGCCCAATTGGGTAAGCCTGACCCAACAAACCCGGATAGGTGGGCTTGATCCAGCCCAAAATCCAAACTAGGGTTTTGTCCTTAAGTAGTGGCACCACATGGAGCTCGCATGGAGCTCACACACCAACGGTCGGTCAAACAAGGAACGACCGGCGAAACAGCTGATATAGCACAAAAGCCTGTTTAAAACGGGATCACAACAGTCCACAATAGCATTAATGGAACGACCCCGAAATAATCGAGAATGACCCCAAAATAATCAGAAACGGCCTCGACAGGGGGCCTATAAATACCAAAGGTCGAATACCACACGACGGCAAGGAAAAAATGACGGAAACAACGAAAAACAAGGAAGCATACAAAGCAAACCAGGCAAGCAAAGCAAAGCTTTTGAAAATAAAAATAACAAAATATATTCGGCGTCGAAATCGCACGGAATGAAGCACTGTAGGGAAAACCAAAGGTCGTCGGAAAAGCGAAGAGTCTCACCGGAAATGTTAAAAAATCGAATGTTTCTTTGTAGATATATGTCGATATGGTGCTTTGTTGAATAATCGGGCTATATAATGATGTTTAGGAGGTTGGGAGGAGTATTTTAGGGGGGTTTGGTTTTTTCCAGCAGCCAGAGCGGCGAGCGGCGGAGTCGTGGCCGGTTGGGATTTTGGGGAAGAAGGGTTGAAAGCGGTTTTGGGAGAGAATTATTTTTTTCGTTAAGGTTAAAATGATATTTTTTTTTGGTTTTTGGGTATTTATAACTGAGGGACTAAAGTGCAAATATCATATTTTTTTTATTATTTCCGCAGTCCTATAAGTTTGAAGTGTAATTCGCTTTGGTCACTTATTGTAAATTTACCCTTGAATTTTGAATTTATTCAATTTAATCCCTAATTACATTTTTTATATTTTGCAAATTGACCCCCTAACCTTCTATTTTTCTCTTGTAGCTCATTCATAGAATTAATTTAATTCATGAATTTTAATTTATTTCAATTTGATCCTTTAATTTTTTTTCCTTGTATTTTCTTTAAAATTTAACGCTTCTTTTTTCATTTTATTTTTTATTTTCTCTTTTAACATTTTTTATATTTTATATTTTTATTTTTTTCCTAAAGTTTAATGTTTTCTTCATTTTATTTTATTTCTATATAATATTTTTTTTTCTAAAATTTAATATTTCATTCTTTGATTTATTTTTCTAAAATTTAATATTTTCTTCTAAAATTTATTTAATATTTATTTTATTTTATAATCTAATGTTTTCAACTTTTTAGGGGCAATTTTTACCGATCGGAGGTAAGTAATTCGGATCAAATCTGTAAATTTTAATTTAATTTTTTGTAATTAAGACAATTGATAAATTAAAATGGTACCGACAAGGCAGTTCAAGGGTGCTAATCATTCATTGATTGTAATCGACTCCGGAATCCGACATATTTATGGTAAAATGCAGATCAGGTAAGATGGTGTCCGATCAACCAAATTTCTTATGAAAAAAATGATCGGTGGCGACTCTAACATTTTTTCAAGTCGAAGCCCAATTTTGGGCCCACGCGAAAGACGGTTGCGAAACATAAAAATCCTAAATACTAACCCTAATCGTCATCGTCGCCCTTTCCGACCACGACCACTACTGTCGACTTAGTCTCTGACATCCTCCTAATCATACACTATCGTAGTTGACATCGTTTGGTTGTCGGAATCGCGTGGGATTACGGTTTTCATCCTAAGATACAAAATGTCAATTGGTCATCGATCGGTTACGATTTCATAGGGGTATTGATCACCGGGGGTATATGAGGTCGGGTGGAGCTTTGTCGACTGCAAAGGGCAACGATTGACGTGAGTTTAGGGGTTGAAATGAAAGTTTTCAAAGTTTTGGGACTATGTCAAATTTTTTGTTTTTTTAAAAACATATATATATATATATATAATTTTAATTTTTTAATTTTAAATAAAAATTTTAAAATAACCAGAATATGATATGTGTCACTTAAATGAGAAAATTAACGTTGTTTACTGCCCGGACACCTAAAGTGGCAACGTTTGTAACGTTAGACGCTGAGATCATTCAAAAAATACTGTAGGCACCAATTCATGAAAAATAATATAGTTTGGGCACTTATTCTATATTTAAGCCTAAAATAATTTATTGCAAATTTATTTTATCCATTATGATTATACTAAGTAGAATTTTGTGATACTAAATATTTGGTTAAAATATATTTCAAGTTATTCTACTCTTGGTAGGTTTAGAATTTAATTCTCTCATTTTAAAGAAATTTAATCTTATTTTGAATTTAAACATTTTAGTATAATTATTAATATCATTATTTTTTGGTTAAATTTGAATTTATTATATTGTTTTTTTTTTGTTTATATGATTTTTAAATTAATATTTTGTATTCTAATACATTACATCAATAAATTGAATAAAAATTTAATATTATCTCGCGTGGTTAAATAATGTTAATTAAGTATAATTTGTCACATCATTTTTTTGTTACTGAGATAATATCGGTTAAAGTTTGATTACTAATTTATTATAAGATAAAGTATAAAAATGGTCCTTCACTGGTGATGCTTTGTTGAGTTCATTGACTATTAAAAGTTATAAAATGATCATTCGACTATAGGGTGTTGCTTTGTTGAGTCTCTGACTATTAAAGGTTACAAAATGACCACTCAACTATTTAGTATGTTTCAAACTCATTTTTTTCGTTAGAAAATTGAAAACAATCTGAGTTGAATGTCAACTTTTAATAGTGGAGGGAATAAAAAAGGATTACCCTATTGTCGGGGGACTATTTGTGTACTTTACCCTTTATTATAAAAGCTTAACATTAGTGATCTTTTTGTTTCTTTTGAAACTTCAATGCTGAAAAAGAAATTTACTTACAATTTAATGATCATTTATACAGTTTACCCAAATAAATAAAAAATCGTTGCTTAGTTCTCGAAAAAACCCCCTAATCCCACTCTTATTTCTCCTTTCTCCTTTCTCCTTTCTCCTCGGTCTCTCCCCTACTCGCTGCGACTTCGAGGTTCTCTCTCATTCGCTTCCCTCATTTTTTACATTTGAATACATAGAGGATTGTTACTGATGCCTTTTTTTGGTTGTTCAATTTTTCATTTCTAGATCTCATTCTTCAAATCGCAGCGTACTACTCTATCAAGTCATGGCTCTGGTAAGGTTTATCTGTGTGTATATATATTATTCCTTGCTTTTGGTAGTTTAACTGTTGAAATGTTGGGGGAAATTATTTAAAGTGGAATTTGAAAGGGAAGTTTTTTAAATAGCTATTTTGCGTTACAAAGGAAGTGGAAGATGTAATATATTTTATTTGATTGCTGTCATAGATCAATGGGATAGTTGATGGATTTGTAGATGTTAATAATTATTAAAAATGATTTTAACTTTACCTCCTTCAATTTCAATTGGGATCCATTGACTTACATACGGATAGATGGCAAGAGGTTATGGTCAATTAGCTTAAAAGTGTTTGTAGATGGAGATGTTAGCTGCTTTCAAGTAGTTTAGGATATAAAACGAAATAAATTTAAAAGAATTTATTAAAAAAGGTTTCCTTTTCAGGGTTTTTCATGGATTAGTAGTGTACTTTTTTGTAGAGATTGGTTTTGGTATTTAGTTCTTCGTGCTAGTTTAGTGTTTTTGAATTACTTGCAGGTCTTGCATGCATGGAAAACAAACAAAAATGCCTATAAGGCACTCATTGCTGCAGAATATACTGGTGTGGACGTCAGACTGGTTGAGAACTTTGAGATGGGTTTCTCAAATAAGAGTCCTGAATTCCTCAAGATGAACCCTTTGGGGAAGGTTATCATGCTTATTAATAGTTTGAAACTAGAGAAAAATCCTTTTTTATATATAATGTAACCTTTTTTTCTACCTCATTCACTGAAAGGATATCTCTGACTTTAGGTTCCTGTGTTGGAAACACCTGAGGGTCCTATATTTGAGAGCAATGCCATTGCTCGTTATGGTGAGATGACATGGCAACTCCATAGCCTACATTTTTGGCCTTTGGTATTTGTTTACTTATTGTTATCTTTACTTTTCTTCGCAGTCACTCACTTAAAGGCTGACAACCCTATATACGGTTCTACATTGATTGATTATGTAAGGATTTTATACTACAATGGTCTTGTTATTTTGTCATCAGTTAGTTTATTTTAAACCATGGAGCTCATTTTTTATATGTATTACCTTGGCTTTCTTAGGGTCATATTGAGCAATGGATTGATTTCACATCCATGGAAATTGATGCTAATATTGCAAAATGGTTGTATCCAAGACTTGGTTATGGTGTTTACCTTCCTCCAGTAAGTTCTACTCCCCCCCCACAGGTTCTTGTGTCATTTTAATTGTGCTTTATTTGCTGGGGTCATTGTACTGTTTTTTTCTCTCCAAATTATAAGACAATAGGTCCCAATGTCCCATGTTAATATTTGACTTGGGCAACTAAGTCAGTTAAATAAAAACTTTGAGGGAAACAGTAAAGGGAAGAAAATGGCATTGGTTATCTTTCATTCTTGTTTTATTCTTTTTAAAGAGGACTTAATACAGCTGTGTTTCTCTGTGCATAATTTCTGTAAATGAATGTGTGAGAGCACTAGAAGCCTAAGTAACCTTGGTACAAGAGCCATGCCATTGAATTGTAAATCAAGTTGGCATAGGCTTACTAAGAGTTAAGTCTTCTATGTTTTGTAGTTCAGTCGTAACTCATTACTTTGATGGTGTCATTTGGCCCATCTAGTTTATCTTGATTTCTAATCTATATTTCGCAGGTTGAGGAAGCTGGTATTTCTGCACTGAAGAGAGCGCTTGGTGCTTTGAACACTCATCTTGCTTCCAACACATTTCTTGTTGGACATTCAGTCACCCTTGCTGACATTATCATGACATGCAACCTCTACTTGGGCTTCTCTGAGATCATGACCAAGAGTTTTACCTCAGAGTTCCCTCATGTTGAGAGGTACTTCTGGACCATGGTTAACCAGCCAAAAGTCAAGAAGTTTCTTGGTGAAGTGAAGCAGGCAGTGTCTGTGCCACCTGTTCCTTCAAAGAAGCCTACTGCCCGCCCAAAAGAAACTAAACCAAAAGCCAAGGATGAACCAAAGAAAGAAGCCAAAAAGGAGGTTGAGAAACAGCCAGCAAAGACAGCGGTCGCTGGGGAGGAAGAGGCACCAAAGCCCAAACCAAAGAATCCTCTTGATTTGCTGTCTCCTAGTAAGATGATACTGGATGACTGGAAGAGGCTTTATTCTAACACAAAGACCAATTTCCGTGAGGTTGCAATTAAAGGTATATGCCTGCTGTTTTTGTTGGAACACTTCTATAATCCTTGAACTGTGATTTCCGACATTTATTTCAGGATTCTGGGACATGTATGATCCTGAGGGATACTCTCTCTGGTTTTGTGATTACAAGTACAATGAGGAGAATACAGTCTCATTCGTCACAATGAACAAGGTTGGAGGGTTCCTGCAAAGAATGGATTTGGCACGAAAGTATGCTTTTGGCAAAATGTTGGTGATTGGAGCTGAGCCTCCATTCAAGGTGAAGGGGCTATGGCTTTTCCGTGGGCAAGAGATTCCTCAATTTGTGATTGACGAGTGCTATGACATGGAACTCTATGAATGGAAGAAAGTTGACATCTCAGACGAAGTACAGAAGGAACGGGTGAATCAGATGATTGAAGATTGTGAGCCTTTTGAGGGAGAGCCTCTCTTGGATGCCAAGTGCTTTAAGTGATAAGTTATCTCCTAGCTTATGTTGTATGCTATTGTCCTACCATCTCATATTTTTTTGAACTTGATTTAGGTTACATTACAATCAAGATTTAAACTATCAGCAGCTTTAAGTGAATCAGATGATTGAAGATTGTGTGCCTTTTGAGGGAGACTGCTATTTACTTTTTGTTTCATCATTATTGAGGCAATTCGCGTTTGTATTTTATTCTTATATTACAAATCATGCTATGCCAAAGATTCACCTTTATTCGTTGCATGTTCGATTATACCTTGCAAACAGGCAGTCATGAATTCCAGAAATAACCTTTTTTTCCGTTCAAAGGTGCCATAAGTATAACCAATTCAAGTTATACAGGTAGAGGCATGTAAAATAAACAAAATATGGAAATAATACTTTACTATTAAGACAAAAGACAATACAATGATTGTATCCTATTATGTAGGGCACGCATATGTAGATATATGCAAGAAATAATGCAAGATTGTCAGTACAAAGAATGTTGGAGCACATCAGGAACTTGGCTAAAACAATTAGGAGAAATAGGTTATTTTAACTAATGAAGTAGAGACGTCAAACCTTATGGGGAATGAATGATACATTAAAAGAGGGATCATTGGAGATTGCCTAAAACTCAAAGGAGTTTGACTCTCTTACTAACTCAGCCTCCCTAAGCAATGGTCATGATTTCAATCGATCGTATGTGCAGCAAGCCAACAGGACACAGATTTATCAACATATGTCTATCGTCATCTTCCCGTCTTTGCCCGCTTCATTCCTGTACTGTTGAAAGGCGACATACTAGGACTCGGGCTCATTCTCGGGCTCTCTTCCCTTAAGGTACCATTTAGCAAAGCCAACTCCCTAAGCTGCTGTTTCTTGTAGCCATCCAAGGATTCATCCTGGAAATGGTGGATGAGGGGTTAGAGAACAGAAATGAAAGGGTAACATAAAATTATCTCAAATTGCATTTGTTCATACCACAGGCTTCAGAAGGTTTTCTAGTATTGCAACGGCATACTCCAATCGAGAATTTACCATGTCCTCGGGAAATTCAGCCTCCAACACATGCAGTGGCTCATTAAGGTGTTCATATCCAGGTTTATCTTTCAGCTTCTCTTCCTGTAGAGAAGTCAGCTTCCATTTGTGAGAGTGTAAAACAAGTGAAGCAGAAAAGCAAGGAAAAACTTTATCTATATTTAAATTGAAAATGTCACAACATGCTTGTGCATCATTCTATTTAACAAGTTACTTATAGTAAAGGTGATCACTGCATTGATTGATCACAATAGTTACCGGTACAAAATGTAAAAGATTGAGGTTCCATTTGTAAGATGCTTTTACCTTTTGCTTTTGTTGTAATAGAAAAGTCGAGCATAAAATACATAAGAACTAAAAACAATGGATAAACAGCAAACAGCCTTAACGGAGCCCAAATAAACATGATACAAACATTGGATGCAAAGTACATTGAAGGCAAATGGATATACAGATTACCAGCAGATGTGAAACTAGATCAATTTTCACATCGCCTACAATTTAAAATTCCAGCACAAGGTGGATTGAGAGGAAAAATATGGACTGGGGGGCAGGATATTATAATAAGAGGAAAAACATGGCTGAACAAGAATCTGTACAAAAAATACTTCCATGGTTCAATTATAGTAAGAATCTGTTCAAATGACTGAACAAGAAGTAACTCAAGAATCAACTACACAGATTTACCACAATTACATGTTGGAAATAACGACAACAACAACAACAACAAAACCCTATTCCCATATGCAATGGGGTATGGAGAGGTAGGGTAGTAGGCTGTCCCCAACGCATGGTTGAGAGAAAAATAATAAAAATGATTGACTATACCTTTACAGAATCCTTGACAGAACCCTTGCCTCTTATGTACACCCTACACTCTGTCATGGCTTCAACTCTCTTTAGGGAGTTCCCTCGTGGTCCCAAGATTCGGCCAACAAAATTACACTGCAAGAACTGAATCAGAACTATTATCTTAAAAAAAAGAAAATGAAGTCTTACAATTTTCAAGATAACTTACATTTGGATATTTATCCACAGGTACATCAAGTTTAACAACTCCTTTTACAATTGGTGTTGTAGGGGCTCTGGGCAAATCAGGCCAACCCATTGATGCAGCTTGAATCGGGGCAACTCGTTGCATGTGCCCATTTTCTGAAACAAGATAACCACGTTAAAAGTTCATTCTCCTTTCATTTAACATTAATGAGAAGCACATTATTTCGGCGTAAGAATAAATCACATTGGAGGCCAACAAGGATATTGAAATTTATTAACCTGATAAGCAATTGCAAAGTTTGATATAAAAGTTATTTTAAAAACAATGTAGTATGTTTATAACCATTAAACTGCATTACCTCTCTTTGCATTACAGACCATCCCTCCAAATCCATCTGTCTCCCATTGGGATGTTGACCAGATGACCTGAAAGGACTTTCATGCTCAAATCTCTCATGATCCACAAAACTAGGAGTAAGACCCGAGACCCTTCTGATCTCAGCAGTTAAATAAGAAAAAAATAGAACACTTGATATGTTTTCAAAACAACCTAAGTGGTAAAAGTGGACATTTGGGGTTTATTTGTGGCATGTGCTACATGTTTTCGTAGAATCCTCCAGTGGCATGCCCTCCAGTATACTTGTTTTAATTTCCAAAAGCACAAAGAACCATCTAGTCTAAGAACACTCCAGTCTGTAATAATTTAAAATCACATGTTTCTAGTATAGGATTATAAAGGTTAACTAGGTGGACAGATAGCGTTACGCTGTTATTTGCTTACAATTTCAGTCAACATCATTGACAATCACTGTGTTTATTTCATCATGTGTGGTTTTATTCTTGGAAGGAACAAACCAACAGAGTGCTCATAAAGAAAATCTAAACTAAAATCTAGCATAATGAAATTTATATTAATTAGAAAAATAATATAAATGGCAGGTTTAAGCATCCTTCATATATATCCTTATAGATAGCTTTACTATTAGAGTGTTTTTCATTCAGCCAAAACACAATCACAAGCAGTTTCAGAACTTGCTAATGAATCTTATATTGCAGAAAAATGAAAAGAAAAAGAAAATTCAATAACCTTGATTAAGAAGCCTGGTGCACAGAGGCAGATTTCTGCCCATAATTCAGCTAAATATCCGCCATAGTTAACTTGAATGTGAGGTAACATTGAATATAACAATGATACAGTAAGACCTATATCTAAGATAAAATAGAATACAAAATAAGAGCACCAACATGAGGAAAACATAACCACCAATTGAAAAACAGAACTTTCTTCCTGAAAACAATCACTCATACAAAAAATACAAGATAGAAACAGAAAAACTTAAAGCTTTTCCTTAAACCATCTTCGAGAACCCATATCAATCGGAACAAAGAAAGCTATAATCATTATATCAATAAAAAAACATCCTATCAAATTATGTAGTGAAACTTTCCCAAAAAGAACAAAAAAAGATTCGATTGATTAAAAGTATTTAAAGGAAGAAGAAGAAGAAGAAGAAGAAGAAGAAACCGACCTTTTACGATCCGTAGGAAGAGAAGAAGCCCTATGAGGTGAAGCAAGGACTCCAGAAGGCGGATACTGAAAGTAACTACCTGGTGGGATCCTCTCCCCCATCATATAAATCGGCCTTCCCTTATTCCTGCTTCACTCGTTCAATGGATAGAAGAAAAAAAACTCTTCAAAATAAAGAATCCAACGTATAAACAAATACATAAGGATTAAAGAAGAAAACCCCAGACTTACTTTGAGGGAAGGGAAGGGAAGGGAGAGAGAAAGTGGCAGATGGAGAAAGCTAAAGGTAAGGTAAGCAAATGAGTAAAAAGGGCAGAGATGCAAAGTATGCTGCCCTCTCTTTTATGTGGAGCAGTGTGTGAGACAAAAAAATTAGGGGTGTGCACATATGGGATATTATTCGATCTAAATTTTTTAATTATCTGAAAATTTTAGATATTAAAGTAATGATTCGTATCCGATCTGAAAAAATTAGATCGGATATTCGAAAATTTGGATCGGATATCTAAATATCCGGATATGTTCTGATTTTTTGTTGCAAATAACTAGTATTGTATTTTTTTATCATCAGTTCAAGAGTATCAAAACAGAAATTTATACTGCTCAACAAAAAACCATGAACACAAGCAAGAACATCATAGAGTGAAAATTCGTCTGGGAAGTTAAAGCTCAGCGGCTCATAATTTTCATCCTTTCTGTTTGCCAAGAAATCTGATATGACGCTTTCGTTTATGGCTTTCTAGCTCATATATTCGATATCAAATTCAGACAACAACATCTGCTAACGGGCTAACCTTCCATATAGAGCAGGCACACCCATCATGTACTTTAGAGAATTTAACTTGGAAATCAGCCAAGTGGTGTGATACAACATCTATTGTCGGAGTCTTTTATAGCCCAGACTAGAGTCGATCGCATATTTTCGATAAGAGGATATATGACCTCGCAATCGGTGAACTTCTTACTCAAATAGTGGATAGCTCTTTCATTCCTTTCGGACTCGTCATGTTGTCCAGGACATACCCGTTGCATTCTCGAATATGGATAGATACAAGAACAGAGGTTTGCCTGGGATATGAGACATCAGAATAGGAGTGTGAGACAAATACTTCTTCACTTTTTCAAATGCAATTTGGTAGTTTTCATCCCAAGTTCCAGGGTTGTTCTTTTGGAGAAGCCGAAAGATTGGGTCACATTTGTCGGTTAACTGAGATATAAATAGTGCTATGTAGTTCAATCTTCCCAGAAAACCTCAGACCTCTTTTTGTGTCCGTGGAGGAGGTAGATTCTAGATAGCCTTAACTTTATCAGGATCAACCTCGATGTCTTTCCTACTGACCACGAAGCCTAACAGCTTCCCAGACATTACCCCGAAAGTGCACTTGCTAGGGTTCAGTCAGAGCTGGAACTTTCTCAATCTCTGGAAGAGCTTTCTCAGGTTCTCGACATGTTTATTCTCGGTTTGTGCCCTGATAATCATGTCGTCGACATAAACCTCGATTTCTTTGTGCATCATGTCATAGAATAGGGTCACCATAGCTCTCTGATATGTTGCCCCAACATTCTTCAACCCCAAAGGCATCACTTTATAGTAGAAAGTTCTTCACATTATGACAAACGTTGTTTTTTAAATGTCTTCAGGATGCATCTTGGTATGATTATACCCCAAAAATTTATCCATGAATGAGAAGAAAACGTTCTCGGCTGTATTATCCACCAAAGTGTCTATGTGTGGTAGAGGAAAGTTGTCTTTAGGACTTGCCTTGTTAAGGTCCCGGTAATCAACACACATGTGAACCTTGTCATCTTTCTTCAGAACCGGCACTATGTTGGCCACCCACTCCTGATACTTGACCACTTGGAGGAACCCAACATTGAATTGCTTATTGACTTCTTCTTTGATTTTAAGGAGCATATCAGGTCGCATTCTCCTCAGCTTTTTCTGCACGGGTTTATATTCTGGTTTGATTGGCAGTTTGTGGACTACCATGTATATGTCTAACCCCGATATATCTTGATACGACCATGCGAACACATCTCTATATTCTTGAAGTAAGACTATCAAGTTTTGTCTTGTTTCAGCCGAAAGAGTTGTACCGATTTTAACCTTCTTTCTATCATCTTTAGTGTACAGATTCAAGATTTCAGTCTTCTCTTTATGTGACATTATTTGTTTTTCTTCTCTTTCTACCATTCTCAACAATTTGGTAGGTAAGTTGCACTCCTCTTCATTTTCATATTCATCAAATTCCCCGAGACAAATGGTTGATTCAAAATCCACCTCCAGATCAGGATCATCAGTGCATGCATCATCGTTATCTGGGAACCTGAAGGAAACAAAGAATGTGTATGCGTGAGAGGAAAACATCCCACACAGAACAACCAACAAATTAAGTTTGAAAGAGAATAAAATGGAGTACTGAAATGAAGAAAATAGAAAATGATCAAGCAGGTGTAGTACCATCCACGCTACATCAAAAAGTTAAGTTTGTTCAATGTGAGAGATATAAGAGAGGTAATTGGAAAGATCGAGGTTCTCATATGAGAGATATCCATTAGCAGCCTCTTTAATGTGACTAAAGGTATCACGTTCAGGGCTGAGCCGTTGTCGATCAACACACTTGGCAAGGCATGCCCCTTACAATACGTGGTGATGTGTAATGCCTTAGTTCGACCTCTACCTCCAGATGAAATCTCATCATCTGAAAATGAGATGAGATTATCATATTGAATATTGTTTACCAGTCAATCCATCTTGCTGACCGATATGTTTTGTGGCACGAACGTTTGATTCAGGACTTTCAACAGTGTCTCCCGGTGTGCCTCTGAGTTTAACAATAGTGCCAACATTGAAGTGTGCATCGGCAAGCTGTGGAGTTGTTCTACAACGTTGTACTCGCTGTGCTTCAAGAACTTGAGGAACTCTTTAGCTTCCTCCTTTACGGGCTCGTTGATAGTCAACACGTCTTTCTTAAAGGGTTCAAGTTATCTATGCCCCACTTTATCTTCCCTTGAAGTGCACACATGATATGCATAGTTCTATAGAACTTGTCGATTGTCCTTGTATTAAAAAGGTCAGGGTACCGTGAACACCACTTTCGCTTGCGTTATTGTTGTTGTCTTCGTTTTTTGGGTAATTATCAAAGGGCTACCCCTGCCGTATTTCCTATCGGATGACTCTTCGTTAGCGCAAACATCTGCTTCCAGAGAATCTTGTACTTCTTCATAAAACTCCATCTCTTTGATGTCCATCATGAGCTGGTTCATCATGAGCTGGACAAATGCTTTGAAATCTGGGTAATCTTGCACCTCACGCCCTTCTTTGTTATGGTAACAACAGTGGTTACCATCTCCGTTCCTTGATTTGTCCGAACGTGGTGCGAGAAGCCCTACCTTCACCATTTGGCTCCATATCCAAGCCAAATGAGATTTTACTTCCGAAACACTAGCTTTGACACTCTTGACATTCTCTGTAGTGACTGCGTTAATCCAGTCTCCTTATGATTAGGTAAGGGATTATGTGCAACGTTTGGTGTTCTGAAGTTAAAATGGATTCAATTCTTATTTCGCATTCGTTGTACAAGCCTCTTGAATACAAGAAAAGTTTTGATCGAATGCCCCTGTACACCACCATGGTATTCGCAGTGAGTATTCTTATCATAGTACTTGGGGTAAGGGGGCTTAATTGGCTCCATAGGGTAAGGTGACACCACGTGAGTGTCGAAAAGCTGTTGGTATAACTCCTTGTATGTCATGGGAATGGGATCGAACTGCTCCCTTTCCCTTTCATTCCTCGGTTCTCTCTAATTTTGTTTAGAAATATCGGATGGTACAACTAAAGTTGTTTTTGAACTTGAGATCGTAACACTTTTATTGGCGTTGTAGGTGCTGACATTGTTGATCTCTCTGTTCTTGTTCTTCATGGGAGGCTTCTTACTTGATTCCCCTCCCTCTATTTTACCTTGTTTTAT